TCTACAGCCACCCCTTGGCCCCTGAGGCTCCTGCCTGCAGTGGCCGTGGGAGGGAAAGGCTTCTTTTCACATTGCTTAAATAAGCTACTTGCTGCAGCACAACAAGGTGCCCACTTAGGTGCAGGAGCACAAATAGGTTTCCAGCAAGCTCCGGGGATTGGGGACAGCCCTTCCGCGAACGGGGCAGAACCGCACAGGTCTGCCCCTCCTTGCCACCTACCTCCTGGGGCCGTCTAGCAGGCACGTTTGGGGACGGGGTGGATGCTCAGTCTTCTGGAAGAAAATAGCGTGTCCTTAAGCAGGATGCTTCTTGTCACGAAGCCGCTGATGACTGGCGCAGCACCAGGCCAGCTCTTCCTTTCTGTCCCTGGGTCCCTTGAAAGCTAAATCCTCAGCAAAGTGCCTGAAAGCTCATCTGACATCTCTCCCGTGTATTCAGTTTGTCCAATAAAAGCTACTATCAGGAAACCCCCTTGCTTCCTGCATGGATCGGGACCATCACAGCTACAACACTCCAACTTCGGGCGTTGGACCTCCTGAGGTCCCTTCAACCCTCATTTTTTATGATTCAATGAACCCTGCTAAGATTTTTGTTGCCCATTCAGCTAAAATGCTGCGGAGCTGCTGGCTCAGAAGAGGTGACCCAGCCTCTGTGAGGAGGTCCAAGCAGGCTCTGGTACGTCCCTGGCTCTGCTTTAAAAACATCACCTGCCTGACGATTGCAGCGTGCTGGGTTGGGTGCCAGCGGCTATGGTGATTCCCTACAGACTAGCCCCGAAGGGCAGGGGCACCTCCCAAGACCCACAGGCCTTTCCATTTATGATGATATTCTCATTTCCATAACAAAGGCCCCACTGACATAATTAATCACCTTAAGCATTGCTTCCTATTCCTGGGGCTAGCTACCGCATGTCATTTCGAACGCGCATTAGTCCGCTCTCTTTCACTGGCAGACACGTGTGTAATTTATATCTGCTTGGGTGGAATTAGCCGATGAAATATGCATCACCCAGCTCCATTACCATTTTTACTCGTGCAGCTCTTTGCTCTCGGGTACGTTAATATTGCACACTAACAGCGCGCGGGGCCACGGGAAAGGCAGCGCATTACACGCAGATGAATGCAGAAGGGTTTCTAGAGGTTTGGCTTCCTCTAGAACAGAACAGCACTGGAGATTAATGAAGCTGCTAAATTAAAGACAAGGCAGTTCCCCTTTCTGGCTTTCATCCTTATAATATCCCCCAGCTAGTCTCTTGAGCTTGGACAAACCTCTCTCTACAGACCCCTACTCCTGCCTATTGGCCTCTCCAAATGCTAGTCTAGTGTCCAAACACAGTTTTAGCTCCTGCCGGGTCCAGAAGAACAGCTCTGGAGCTCCTGGAGCTGGCAAGGAAACTGAACATGGCCAAAGGGCATTTGATGCTTGGTAACCTTGACAGATGTAGAAGAAACTCGTATATCACTTCAATAACAGGGGAAAATAGCCAAGGAACAAAGAAGCCCAAAGAGCCAGGATCAAGTTAACCCATGAATGCCCTGTGTCCCCTACACCAGTGCACATTTGCCATTGCAGGGGATAATGCTGACTAGCTTGAGCCCATTTTGGAGGAGTTTGTGTCGTATAAACCCGGTGAGCTACAGGCACTTCAAAGGTAGTCCTAGAAGCTCTCACTTGAGAGAAAGCAACCAAGTGACTGATGCTGGATCCTGCCTGCTTCTGCGGGCAGAGATGGAGCAGGAAGCATTGGCCTGAGCTGATGCAGCTCCCCAGTGCGGCGCTGCGGGCACCCCTTGACGTGCCGAGACCGTGGGCCTCTCGGGCTGAACTGGAGCTGCCCCTCAGGACTCTGGGGCCCCTGCAAAGTGCTGCCACCCTGGACCGGGAGGGTTCAACTCCTTGCAGCTGCATTTCAGGATGCAAAGAGCTTCAGCCGCTTGGATGCCAGGTCAACTACTGTCCTGCCCTGTCCCATCTTGCTTCCAGCTGAAGACTTGGCATGTCCCAGCCCCGGTCCATCCTGCTCGGATCGATGTTCACGGGTCGTGAGCAGGCTCCAAGCGCAGGTGAAGGGTGAAGCTCCAGTGCCTCTGCGGCAGGCGGGTCTGGGCTGCATGGCTGAGGGGGCAAGGCAGGAGGCGGATAAGGAGGAGCCAGGGGACGCCGGCACCGGCTGGTGCAGGATCAGGCCTGCCACATGGTTCCGCAGAGTCTCAGCATCCCCCAGGTGCTGCCAAAATCGCTCTTGGCCAGGACCCTTTCCATGCAGGACCCCTGTCCCAGGCCTGCTCAGGACCCGACTGCTGCTAGGGCAGGGGGCGGCACCGAACAGGGCATTTGCCCCCGGGGAGGCTGTCTCCCCTCCAGACACATGCACAGGGCCCAGATGCAGCATGCATTTCCTGCCACATCTCTGCACTCCCCCCTTGCTGCTGCGGTGCTCCGGTCCCCGAGCCCAGTCGCTCTGCAGCATGGGCTCACTCTCCCCTTCTGCATCTGCACCTTGCTTGCAACGATGGGAATGAAGCAGGATTTGTGCTGTGGCCGCAGGCCCCATCGGAGACTTGTACAACCACCTGCGCCTGGGACAAGAGAGCAGGCAGTGGGTCAGGAGCGAGGGGCTGGGTGCGGCCACGGCGCATGAGGGCGCGATGCAGCTGATGACAGCCACCGCCTGAGCGTGCGAGAAGTTCACACGGTCTCCCAGGACTTCAAACCGCACCACCACCGTGGCCCTGCACCCCCGCAACCATTAGCATTCACTCCTGCACTCGCAGCAGAACGCGTCTCGCAAATTTAGCTGCAGATTCACGCGTGCCGGGGCTATAGATAGACTTTTAAACAGCTGGTCTCCGAGCAGTAATTCACGGGAGATCAAAAGGCTGCCGCTGAATCGGGGTGGTGCCCGACGCCGTGGGCCTGCTGGAGCGCTGGAGGTTTAGGAGCAGCGATGGCCGTGACGCTATCCCTGCCAGTGCCTAAGTACCCCTAGACAGTCCCTTCCCACCAGACAGTGCCCCTCACCTTACCCAGCCCCAGGGCAAAGTGCAGAGCCCAGGGGTGAGAGTCATGCATCACCGTACCCCACGCCTTGCAGCGGAGTCTGGTTTGGGGGTGATGCTGATGGGGGAGACGCCTGTGTGAATCCACACGCATCAGGAAAGCACCAGCCACCGCAAGGGCAGCCCCCTGCCAATGTCCGGGGGCAGACGCTTGGAGAGGAGAAGGGCGAGCCACGTTCCTCTTACGCAGCAGCCGCCTGCGCCTCTGCTCTAGGCAGGACACCAGGCGGATGAAGCCCCTGGGCTTGCTCGGGGATAGAAAGTTGATCTCCCAGACAAGACACGGGGCCACTCTGGGAGTTTTAGAAGCAAAAATGTCCAGCCCGAGTTGTTCCAGCTGCCAGCCAGGCAAAGGAAATGCTCCCCTGGCCTCGCACACGTGGTGCCTCTCTGGAGGTGCAAATGAGCAACCACAGGCAGCAAATCCCTGGGTCTTTTTTATTTTTTAATCCTTTTTTAAATGTAGCCCCTTTCAAAACGAGCAGTGATTTGAATCTGTAAGGAGCTGCGAGCCATCCCCTCTCTGAGCCAGGAGAGGCTTTCACAGTCGCTGAGCTGCGAAAATTGCCTTTGAAGGCAGCGCGAGCATCTGGGCTGGGGCCTGCGATGGAGACCGACAGGCCTCCTGCGCCGCCGAGGCTCGGGAGAGGTGCTGAGCCGGGCGGCAGCCCACGTAACGTGGACGTCGGTAGCCTCCGCGCTGCTATTTGCAGGGGTGGAGCTATCAGGCCGTCCCGGCAATGGCTCCCTTGCTGATTCCCCCAGCTCCGTTACAGCGCAGTTTATGTTATTAGGCTATTAAAATGGGGATTTATAATCCCTGCTTTCAAGCTGCGGTAACTTCTACGTCAAGGCAAGCCAAAGCTTTTTTGTTTAGCTAGAGGAGATCATGACAGCAATACTGGCTCTGATGGGGCCCGGTTGACTTAAGCCGGTCAAAGATCTGGCCAAGGGAGGCCAGTTTCTGAGTGAGGAAAACTCAATATTGGGCACGAGACTTGTGTTTCAAAACGAAGCCTCAGAGGGGGCTAAAGGATTGGGTCCATGCACAAAGCTGCGAGGTCTCGTGGCTGTTTCTGCTGGCTGTATCAAAGGCAAGGACTCCTCGCTGTGATGGGATTGGGAGCGGGAGGCACCTGCAGACACGGGGCTGGACTCCCCTGGGGGCAAAGAGGCCCTCGAGGTCGATGCGATTGCAGAAGTGGCCGGGATAATTGCATCGCAGTCTTCCCTCCAAAGGGAAACCACTCCTGTCTTCCCCGCGTGCTGCAGCACATGGACGCAGGAGTTGCCGCGAGCCGTAGGTTTCTAGCTTGTCCTGCCAGCGCTTCTGGCGGAGGGTCAAGGCCTGCCGGCACTTTTGAAGGGCTGCATATGGGCACTTCCAAATGCCGGCGGAGTCTGGCGGCTGCTCCCCTTCTGCGAGGTTGCAAGCACAAGCCAGGCAGCCTGGGCTGTCTCCACCTGCCTGAAAGGCCCACGTGTGTCCCCGGCTGTCCACCTAGCATTGCCCAGCACCCAGGTACCCTGCACCGCAGCCTCTGCCAACACGCTCCCCTGCCCTGCAGTCATGCCGTTGGGGCAGTCGCACCCAGGGCTGCTGTCCAGCTTGCTTTGCCTCCGAGCACGGAGCGCCCACAAAGAGCAGACAAAAAACCTGGCCCTTTCCATCGAAGCGGCCCACAACACTGAGCTCAGCCTCTCCCTGCTAAAAGGGTCACTTTGAATGAAACCCCAGACTCCCGCGGCTTTGGCGGCGCGCCAGTCGCACACGCTGTGCACAGCGGGGTGGAGCGGCAAGCGCGGGACCAGACAAAAAGACGGGTTCGTAAACCTGGCGCTGACTAGAGCTGCCCGTTGGGAGGAGCGGGGTGGGGGTCTCTCCCCAGGACTTCCCATCTCTGCTCACCCCGGTCTCTCTCCCCTCCCCTTCTTCGTAGTATGAATTCAAAGCAAAGAACATCAAGAAGAAAAAAGTCAGCCTCGTCGTCTCCGTGGACGGGGTGAAGGTGATTCTGCGCAAGAAGCAGAAGGTAGGACTCCGCGCGCCTCCCGGGGAGCGGGCTGGGGGGACCCTGGGGTCTACGCAACCCTGTGCCGTGTCTGCCCATGTCCAGCAGCGTATGCCGCGGGGAGGTCCTCTGTGACCAGAGCCAGGCCTGGGTCCCGATCCCGTGCCTGCAACCCCAGCCCTTTCCCCATGCTGCCGAGGCCTCGTGCCTGTCTCACTTCACAGCACCTGCGGTTGCTTAGCTCCGCACTCGTCCCCGACAGTCAAACCAGGACCTGGGTTTTGCCTGCTGGTCAGCAGGGGTTGGCATCCAGCTTTTGCGGTGCTTTATGCCCCCTCTCCTCTTCTTTGCAGAGGAAGGAATGGAGCTGGGACGAGAGTAAGATGCTGGTGATGCACGACCCTGTCTACAGGTACGTGGCCCAGGGTCCGCACCCAAGGCAATTAATCACATCTCCGACCGCCTGCAGCCTAGCTCCTGCAGGCTGACGTGCCGCCCGCCCGGCAGGCCTGGACGACACAAACACCGCTGCTGAATTCCTGCTTCCTAAAGGCCCCGTCGCATTGCTTAGCACAACCTACCTGAAAACAAGTCCCCCGTTATAAGTGCAGGCGAGGAGCACCCGGGGGCGAGGGGGTGGGACTGGGCTGAGAGGTGAAAACCACTGGCCTTCCCTGCTAGGGGCAGTGCATCAAGGCACCGATATCCAGGAGGAAACTCCTCCACTGGTTGCCTCCCAGCCCAGACTCGCCCGCCCTTTATCTTGTCCACCTAGAGAAAGAAGCAGCTGCTCTCCTTCCTAGCGGGACCTGTGGCAGGGCTCTGCGGGCACAAGGTGCCGACCCATCTCAAGCTCCCAGACCGCGCTGCCCTTGCCCAGTGTGCATCCACGCGCTCCCGGCACCCTGCAGCTGTGAGCCCCACATCTAGCACCCTGCCCCTAAGCACAGAAAAGCAAAGCCAAGAGGTTTTGGGGCTGGCGGTCTGTAAGGAAGGTGTTTGGGGCACTGCAGCGGTCTGGTGCCAGCAGGGAGGGTGGAGGGGAGGAGCGAGGGAACAGCAGGGTTTAGTGCCCAGAAATTGGTGGCGAACCACCAAGCAGACCTCCTTTCTGAGGGCTCTGAGGTGGTCCGGGCCGATAGATCTGCTAGCCGGGAATTGCAAAAGCACGAGGCAGGATGCCCTATGTTTTCAGCCCAGGAAGAGGTCCCGAGGGAACACGCTGCTGTGTTTTTACCTCTCTCCCGGCGCTCTTCAGCGCTTCCGGGCTGTTTGCCAGGCAAAGAGAGTAATTTCACTAGATTCTCTAGCAACACGCTGGATTGTTCCTAAAATAATCACCGTGGAAGAGGCGCTTGTGACAGGATCCAGGGAAGTGCTTTTGATAATTGTCCCGATTGAAATTTCAAAATGACGTGCGGAGGCAGAAGAAAGAAAGGTAAAGATGCAAATCTGTGCCTCCGGTTCCCTCTGCATGTGGAGTGGAAAGGCACCGGCCCATTTTCCACCATATAAAACAAGCTGCCTGGAATAAAAGGTAAAAAAAGAAAAGAAAAGATCTGTGCAGCGGAGCCAGGCCCCTGGGGAGGATGAAAATCTTTTGAGCCGTGGATGGGCCATGGAGCCAATTCACCCGCCTCGGTTGATGTAGCAGAGGGAAGCTGCCTTTTGTGCTGCACCATCTGCCTGGCGCTGATGATAATGGGCCTGTGCTACAGGCTGCTTCTCTCTGCTCTTCGCTGCGTCTCGAGCTAGGATAGAAATCAACTCGCTCTGCAAACACAGCTCTCCATGCCCTCGCGAGGGTGCTTGGAAAGCCCCTCTGCCAAGCTGCCCCTGAGGCAGGGGGTCCTTTCCCTGGACTCTGCCCCATCCAGCCGTGCAGTGGATGGGCTGCTGCTCTCAGATCTGGCTGCTTTATCCTTGGCCCAGCAGAGCAGGGGACCGAGACAAGCAGGGGAATGGCTAGGTGCTCGGGACTGCGAAGATTAGATGAGCTGGGCATTTCTGCCCGTGGTCAGGAGAGCAGCATGCAGCCTCCCATCCCCTGGGATGCCACGAGACGCCTGCGTGTCCTGCAATCAGAGCCACCGCAGCCCTCACTGGTTCAATGAGCTTTTCCAGTGGGTTCTTGCTCATTCGTGCTGTGCCCGTCTCTCCTAGGATCTTCTACGTGTCGCACGACTCGCAGGACCTGAAGATCTTCAGCTACATCGCGAGGGACAGTGCCAACAACTCCTTCAGGTGCAACGTCTTCAAGTCCAAGAAGAAGGTGCGTGTTGCCAGGAGCTTGTTAGGGGTACGGGCCCGTGGGCAGGGTGCAGGAGAGGGTCCCCTGCCCCGAAGCAGCATGGGGCAGAGCTAAGGGGAGAAGTCTGCCGAGGACTAGACATCAGGAGGCGCGACTTCACAGTCAGGGCAGCTAGGATCTGGAACCAACTTCCAAGCGAAGTGGTGCTGGCTCCTACCCTAGGGGTCTTTAAGAAGTTAGACAAACACCTTGCTGGGGTCGTTTGACCCCAGTACTTTTTCCTGCCATGGCAGGGGGTCGGACTTGATGATCTGCTCAGGTCCCTTCCGACCCGACCAACTATGAAACTATGACTCGTCCTGACTGCCCAGAGATGGAGGCATAGTCTAGACCCCGTCCCCCCCAGGAAGAGCAAGCAGCTGGGGAGTCCGGCTGGTGTCCACAGCCCAGCACACCTCCTCCCAGCCATCAGCAGGCCAGGGGGCAGCAGCTGCACGAGGCAATGCATGTCAGACTGCTGCCTGCCTGGGCTCCCCCAGTGTCTCCTCCATGGCAAGATGGATGGGAGAGGACCCCATGCCAGCCCTGCCCCACAGACATCTGCCCTCCGGTCTCGCCCTGCAGAGCCAGGCCATGCGGGTGGTGCGGACGGTGGGCCAGGCTTTCGAGGTGTGCCACAAGCTGAGCCTACAGCACACGCTCCAGAGCGCCGACGGCCAGGCGGACGGCGCCAGCGACAAGTCGGAGGAGCAGCCGCTGGAAGGTGAGCTGCCGCTCTCTCGGCCCTGCACGCAGCTCTCCTAGACCGGGGCAGAGGAGCCAGGGGTTGGGACGGGGGCCTTGGGGACACAGGCTGCAGGCCAGGCTGCCCCGGATGCTTGCACCTGTAAGAGCGCTGTGCAAACATCGCAGGGGGTCACCGGTTGCAGCTGAGCCTCTCGGGGCAAAGGAGCCCACCCGAGGCTGCGCGGGGAGCTGGTGGCAGAAACCCCTGCAGCCTTGACCCCTGAGGCAGAGCTGGTCACTAGACCAGACCTGGAGATGCTTGCCGCAGCTGGAGGTGGGTCCTCCAGCCCCGCTCCCAGCCCGTCTGCATGGCTGGCCCCCGGGCATCGTGACGCTCTTATGTGCTTTCTTGCCTCGCTCGAAGCTCTGCAGATGCAGGGAGCCAAGATGGCAGAGGCGGATGATGCTGATGTGGACTCTGACGGCATCTGCCTCTCCGACCGGGGGCCCGGTGAGCTGCTGCCCACCCGGGAGGAGCTGGGACTGGCAAAGCCTGGGCTGGCTCTCATGGACCACAACGGCCAGGTAACACGGTGCGGGAGTGGGGGCCGTGCTCCGAGCGCTGCTCCTGCAGCTCCACAGGGTACCAGACCCGCGGCCACCTGCTTCCCCCCCTGCCCCGCTGCCTGGAGAGCCCGTAGCAAAGGCAGGCAGGGTGGCCACACTTCCTCGGCATCACCCCACACTCGACAGCCCCAGCTTGCATGGAGCCGGGCAGCGCCACGTGCTCCTCTGATAGCCCCCGCCAATCACCCAGAGCACAGCTCCCGCGCGGGGCGGTGAAGGTAGGGCAACGTGGCCCCGGCTGAGAGCCTCTCCCTGCTCAGAAAAATCCCCTCCCTTGCTGCGCTGGGCTGAGAGCGCCTGGGTTCAGTGGGATTTGTTGCAGGGGCTTGAACGGCCGCCACGTCCCGGGGGTCGCACTGTAGGAGGGGCTCAGCCCAGCGGCCAGTCCCGGCATCGACTCCCCGTTCCAGCTCCCCCGTGCGGCACCGCCCGGCCCCAGGCCTAAATCTCACCAGGCTCCAGGTGGGAGCCGGGAGTGGCCAGAGCCGTTGGTAAGGGCATCTCTGTGCCTAGGACGCTGAGAGCTGCTCCGTGTGCCCGTCGGTCTCCCAGCAGCTACGCAGCCCTGGCAGCCCCTGCTCCTCCGCCTCCGTGACCCCCCTGGCCTCGCAGCACTGCCTGCAGCTGCTGCAGCACCAGCTCCTCCAGCAGCAGCAGCAGACCCAGGTGGCCGTGGCCCAGGTACAGACCCCTGCGTCCCCCCCACCTCTGCCCTGGGGATCCCCACCTCGGTGCTCAGGTACCTCGAGCCTCCTGCTCCAGGCCAGGCCCTCGCTGGGAGCTGCCGTAAAGGGGAGGCTCGTGGAGCCCCTCGAGCAGCTGGGGGGAAGGGACGCATCCGCCTCTCTGCCCCGCCAGGTGCAGCTGCTGAAAGACCAGCTGGCCGCCGAGACGGCCGCCCGCATCGAGGCGCAGGCCAGGGTCCGGCAGCTGCTGCTGACCAACCGGGACCTGCTGCAGCATGTCTCGCTGCTGGTGAAGCAGCTGAAGGAGCTGGAGGTCCAGGTGCGGCACCGGCACCCAGGTGAGATGCGGGGCAGCCCCATGAGGGCACGGCCCGGAGCGCTGGCACTGCGGGGCACGTAGCCGCTAACCCCGGAGGCTTCCCCTTGTGTGTCGGCAGTCGACCGGTCCCTGCAGAACCTGTCCCTGAACCTGAAGAACCACTACAGCCTGGAGATGACCCTGCCCTCCACCTCCACCCCCGCCAGCATCCTGGGCAGCCCAGTGGCCCCCAGCTCACTGGGCACCAGCGAGTCCTACCTCAACCTCCTAAGCCTGGACAAGGGCCGGCAGCGCCCAAACCCCCAGGACGGGAATGAGGGCCCGGCAGGGCAGGACAGGCTGGGCCGGAGCGTGGAGGGCTCAGAGGTCAGCGCCGGTGTGCTGCCCAACGGGTCGGGCAGGCAGAGAGCGGAGGATCCCGGCGGCAGGGCAGACGACAGGTAGGGCAGGGCGCCGGGGCCGTGCTTCCTGCGTGGGGGCGGCTCTGAGCATGTGGGGATGGGGTGGGCAGCAAGAGGGGGCCGGGTGGCCACCCCCGCAGCCAGAGGCTGGAGCAAGACGGGGGATGCCTCCGCAGCACAGCATCCAGTGCCCCCCGGGAGGCTGCAGAGGTCCTGGGGGAGCCGGGCTGGGAGTCCCCCGTTCTCAGCTTCAAGTGTCTCCCCAGGCCACAGCAGCCCATCCCCAAGATCAACCCGCCCCCTCCCGTCCTGCGCAAGCGGTCCAGCAAGACCTCGCCGAGCCTGGAGGTGGAGGCCAAGCCCGAGAGCACCGTGCCCGCCAGCCCCCGCGGCTCCAAGCTCGGCGCCGAGACCTGGACGCCGGCGCCCGGCACGGAGCAGCTCCCTTCGCAGGGGGGCCCAAGCAAGGACCGGGTGGGGCAAAACGGGCATGCGTCCCCAGCGCCCGGCCCGTGCCGACAGCCCGCGGGGGGGCCCGGACCTGGGAGCCCAGGGACAGACTGCGGCAGTGCAGGTGGTGCCATGGACAACACGCCGTCGTTCTCCGCGGGCAACGAGACCTGCCTGCACATCAGCTTCTCGGAGGATGAGCTGCTGGAGAACGAGCCGGATGAGGCCCCGGGGCCCAGGAGGGTCCCTGCCTAGCCTGGCGTGGCACGGGGTGGCTCACGTGTGGCCCCGGGGCCAGCCTAACCCGGGAAGTGCTCTGCTCAGGGCAGCAGGGCCGGCTGTCCCCATGCAGCGCCCCTGCCCCGTCTGCACCAGCTTCCCACAGGAGCTGTGGCCGAGCTGGGCTGCCAGGCAAAGGAGCTGCCATCACAGCTCCCATCCCAGGCTTGCAGTGACCTGGCTGGGTCCTTGCCACATACCAGAGGACAAGCAGATGCCATCAGGCACCCCGGACACCTGGGCCAGCTGACTGTCAAGGCCCAAATGTACTGCTGCAGCCCCTCGTGGGGCTAACACCAGCCCAGCGCAGCCCCCGGGACGCAACCCTAGGCAACGGGACACGGGGACTCCAGACTGGCAGTGCCCTGTGCCGCGTGCTCCAGGCTTCGGTGACCAGCACTTTCCAGGTCACTGGAAGCCAGTCTCCAAGCATTTTCCCCATCACTGTCACGGGCTTCGGCGCTGGTTGCAGACCGAGCAGGGCAGGCGGGTGGGTGCAGAGCTCGGCGAGCTGGGAAGCAGAGGCCTCTCGGCCCCTCCGAGCCCAGACTTCCCCAGCGCACGCCAGAGCCGGCTGCACACGCGGCTCTGTTCAGCCTTCCCCGGGGCGGTGCCAGCCTCTCCCACTGCCCCCACTTGTAGATTATTATTAAGAGCAAAGCTGCATTGTCAGCGTGTTTTATGTCGCCTGCCCCGTCTCTGCCGCAGCTCGCCCCATGGACAGGGTGGGCTGCGGGGCAGCCAACACTGCTCCCGCTGCAGGCTGGCGGGGACCAAGCGTTGTGTCCCAGCCCCGGGACGGCTGCTCTAGGTGGGTCAGTGAATGCGCTGGAGGTTCGGGTCGGGAAGGCGTTGGTGGGCGATGGAGATGGGCAGCAATGGTATCGGGAGCCAGAAAGCAGCACAGCTCGGGGCTGGCGGCTCCACGAGGCCCAGAGCGACCAGACCGTCATCGGCTCACGGTGGTCCACCTGCCGTCTCACACCTGGGAGCCTGGGCGGGGAGTCCCGGCCTCGCAGGCAGTCCCTATTGAGGCAGGGCCGGACCGGAGAGCCGTGCCGACCCGCGGACTCGCCAGCCCCCAGCTGGGGTGTGCTGCAGTCTGCTGGACACCAGACAGGAAAGGTGCATTTCCAGCCCGTTAACAGACCTCTCCGGGAAATAAACATGTCCAACTTCCATGGGGAAAAGGTGGTTTTTGCTGCGTGCCAGTCGCCAGGGCTGGGACGGCATCAAACCCTGTGCTTCAGCTGCTGGGAGGGGACCCGCAAGCCACCACTCCATCCCACAGCGACATGGGGGCTGCTTAGATGCGCCCCGACCTTGACACTGGTGGCGGGTCCAAGGGGAGCGGGGCAGGCCAGCTGCACCACCACATGCACAGGGAAAGCCTGGGCCCAGCCTGCTCTCTCGTGGTGGCAGCCAGCATTGCACCTGCCCGCATGCCTGCAGGAAGGGGTCTGGCCCCCTCAAGTGATGGAGCAGGGCTGTTCCCGGGGTCATTGTCAGCAGAACTGCCCAGCACAGCGCGGCTGGTAGCAGGGCATTGCTAGCATGGTCCGGACAGGAGCGGGGAGGGTCGTACACGAGGCAGCCCTGGTCCTTTCTCTCCCAGTGGGTGATGACGGGCAGACCCAGAGGTGTTTGATGTTTGCAGGAACAAACGCTGCAGGGCAAAGCCATCGCCCTTCCCGCCACGTCTTTGCTTGTTACCCGCTGGACCTTGCCCTAGAAGCTGCATCTGTGCTGCTCCTGCAGCCAGTGCTCTGGTGCCCGCAGCCAGTGCTGCTTCTGCGCTTTGGGTCCCCCTGCAAGGGAGCACGGGGACAGGACCCAGGTGGGAGTAACGTTGGCCAAATGCACTGAGAGGCAGGAGCTAGCCTGGCTGGGGGGCAGTGCCAGCCAGCCCGGCACAGAGGCAGCACCTGCCACGGGCCTGCAAGCTGCTGCAGCCTCAGACGCTCACCTCGATTTCGCCAGGGCCCCTTTCAGCACGGCTGTGTTGGACCAGGGGCTGTTTCCATCCAAGACCGTTCCAGCTGTAGCTGCAGCATGGCACTGAGCTCGAGTCCAGCATGAGCCCGGGGCATTGTGGGGGTTTATGTTGCTGCCTCCACCTCCATTTCGGCTCTCAAGGGCATATGGCCGCGGCCCCGGCCCCTCCAGGATCAGGGTTTGCTTTGGCTGCAGAAAGGGCCTGTCCAGCCCACGCTGGCTCCCGCCTTCTCCCCACTGTTAATGGGATGTCGCTGATGAGCTGCGACTGCAGCTGGCACCGGCGGGCTGGAGGAGAGATGCTGAACGTGCTGCCAGCAAGACACCGACTCAGAGCTGCCCCTTGCCCGGGCACCCTCCCGCTTGCACTCAGCGCCTGCTAACCGCGGCTGAGCATCCAGGCCAGGCCAGTGCCCGTGGGCCTCAGGCTGCCCGCCTGCCATGGGCCTGCCGGGCACGATGCTACCTGCTCCCCACATCACCCTGCCTAGCCAGGACCGGGTGCCGGGCTCTGCACCTCTGCTCTGCTGGTGGCCACAGGGGCTGGAAGCAGACAACCGCTCCGATTCACACCGGAGCGTTTTGGGCCACCCCAAAATCCCAGCCTTGGCAGCCGAGCTCCCTGCCCCATATCAGGTCCCGGGGAGTTATCTGCGTCCACGCTTTGCCTGGGAACCATCGTGGCTCGTGCCACTTGATGGCCACGTGGAGGCTTCCAGGACGGGGCCACTAGGGGTCAGCCCTGCTCCACTTTCCCGGCTAGCTCGGTGCACGTGTGGAGCGCTCGGGCTAGCCAACGTCTGTGCTGGGGCAGCCCCCCAGGCCGTCTGTGCACGCCTCCCCGTGCCCCCTCTCCCGAGCAAGCCACCGGCTCAGCAGCAAACGCCACCACCCACGGGGCGAGGCTGAGAGAGCGAGCGCCCTGCCCACGCCAGCCCCGGGCGGCCTCCCCGTGGGAAGCAGGCTGTGGGTTTCCCTCGACAGCTGCAGGATGGACGTTCCCTCCCGCGGCGCGGCCCTGGAGTCTGGCCCCGGGGATGGGGACATGACACGTGGCGGGCTGCACCTGGCCAGTGCAGAGGGGCTCTCAGGATGGACACAAGACAGTGGAAATGAAGCCCCACAATAAGCCCCTGTTGCCCTCCTCGCTCTCCCTGCCCCACCTCGCTGCCTGGCAGGAGGAAGGTGCACAAGCTCCCCGCAGAACGGGCCCCGAATCCTCACCTCAACCCCTGCGAGTATCCAGTCTTACAGAGGGCACTCGCCTGGGCATGAGAGCATGGGTGCCCCGGCTTCCCTGCCGAGCCCCGGCCCACCCAAGCCCACCCTGCTCCCTGGCCTAGAGCCACGGCTGCAGGTGCTTGCTCTCAGCACCGCGGCCCATGCTCACAAGCCCAACGATGCCCTGGAGCGCCCGGCCTGAGAGGGACCGCGTTCTCCACCCAGAGCTACGGTGCTGACGGGCACCCACGCCGCAGGCCTCCTGGGGCAGCCGCCACAAAAGCCAAGGTGACGCTACGGCATGGCATAGGCAGCAGCATGCCCCACAGCAAGGCACCCCTCCCTGCGACACGGGGGGCCAGCACAGAACGAGGGCAAAGCCGGACAGCAGACGAGCTGGTCCGGCTCCAGGGTGAGCGGAGAGGGCCTTGTGCACCAGCTGGGCACGCAGGAGGTGGATGAGGATGGGGCCGAGCTGGCACAAACCCCCACCCCTTTCCCAGGATACCACACACCCTAGACCCGCTCTGTCATGCGCTGCCTGGCTCGAAAGCATCGGGTGGGTTTCACACCCTGCAGATATTGATGGGGGGCTACAGGAGGCAGGCTGCCGCAGGAACCCCCGGTCTCACACCTGGCACCGTCTGCATGCGGCATCACATCCGGGAAGCAAGGTGCGCACGTGTGCAGACATGCTTGACATAAACGTGCATGCACATGCATAAGGGCTGTCCAAAGTCCTTCCATTGACCTCAGTGGGCTCTGGATCAAGCTCTACCGGGGGACCTGGTAGAGCCCCCACCACGATTGTTTCCCCCTGCACTGCCCAGCCCAGGCCACAGTTTCAAGCAGTTCCCATCTCTTGGCTGCTTGGTGGCTGAAGGCAAAGGACCGCGAGTACTATGTGCGCCCATGTCCCAGGTGGTACTATTGAGCCCTTGTGCCACCGACAGTCTCAGGAGGGGGGACAAGCGCAGAATGGGCCTATGAACCTGGATCCTGCTTCCTGCCCTCCAGCTGCCCCCCAGCGCCGCGCCTGCTAGCTGGGCAGTGTTGTGTGGGCAGACCAGGAGCCTGCCCCCAAGTCAGGGCTCTTCCCTAATCTGCAGGCACGGACGAGCATCTGGGACCAATGCAAACTCACGCTCTAGGAACGGTCCGAATCCATCTCCAGCTCATCGCGCTGCCCTGCGGGGAAGTCCTGCCGAACTTCATGGGGATCAGACCGAGTGAGGTCTTTAGAAAGGACACATGGGAAATGGCTCCGATCGAACTGGTTGTCTCGATACCCTTCCAGCTGGATTTTGAGACCATATTGTACGGCTCCATGGAAGGGGGGCAGGTCTCTTATTCAAGCACGTAGAAAATACTGTCCTTTCCATTCTCCTGATGGAGAAGGCCTGTAGAAATGTAGGTGACAAGCCTTCTGGAAGACAGCTGGCTGTAGGGGCCACACTGCAGAAGTGAACGCGTTCAGGGCTGGGGGGACGCGGTTACAATCCAGCATTTTTATTGTGCTTCCTTTATGGGAAGAAACTTTTTTTCCCTTTGCTGTCTGGTAAGCTGCAGCAATCATCAGGCAGGCAGGTGGTAAAGATTCATATCCATCAAACAATGCCATTTAGTTTGTAACCTGTGACTAAATCTGGTGTTAGCTTTAATTTCAGAGTCTGCTTCAGGGCTCGCTTGTTAATCTCTATGCAAAGCAGATGAAATGAATATGCAGCATTTTGGATGTAATTGTACAGCTTCAATTCAGCACTATAATTTTCCAAACAGGATCTTGCAATCAAGCTTCTATTCATTAGTGTATAAACAATTTAGTTTCTCAGCTCTCCAGTATGCCAATCATTTCAATGGAGTGAGCATCTCTGACAAAAAGGAGGAAAGTTTCCTTTGTGTAACAGAGGTAAAAGTTGCCGGGTAACTTTCGTCCACTCCATGGAGGAGACGCGTTCCGCCTCCCTCGAAAGAAGTCCTTTGCTTTTCGTGTGCCCAGGAAGTAGCTCTCGCGATGCTTCTCCTAGGTGAAAGCTTCCCCGAGCTGCCCAATGCCAAGGCATTTCAGCACCCACGTCTGGCTGCGTGGGGCCACTGAACTCAGGTACAGACCCCTGCATCCCTCCACTGCTCCTCAGGGCAGCGCCGTGGGGATCCCTGGCCTGGCAGCTGCACCCCTGGCCTTGCTAACAGCCGAGCTGGCTTGGTACTCGTGGCCCCTGCTCCACGCCAGGCCCTCACTGGGAGCCCAAAAGCTGCTCTGCGGGCAAGGCTTGTGGGGAGCATGGATGTAGCCACCTCTGCCCCGCCAGGTTCAGAGTGGGTATGTTCTGCAAAAGCGGTCCTGAGCCCCAGCCTGCTTTCCATGCTGATGCTGGCATGGGGGAAGGAGGCAGGTTTTGATCAGAGATGGCTTCGACCACGAAGCGGCGGTGGAAACCCAGCACCATGCCCGCGGTGATGCTGGCATGTATTGCTCTCCGTGCGGTTTGTGTGCGGGCTTCCAGCTCTTCTGGATGTGGGTCCCACAACGATGCCGGACGAGGGCACCGGATAAGGTGGGCCAAGCCCCTTGGCGGTGGGTGAGCAGGGCATGAGCCCCAGGCACTGCCTAAGGCGGGGTGCCAGAACAGAGCTGGAGGGCCCCCCGACCCCTGCGCCCCACACTGTCCCTTCAGTGGCCCTGGCTCCTGGTCCAGCCGTGGGGAAGGCTGGGAAGTGGCGACAAGCGCACGATGCAGGAGCAGCAGCCGGAGCTTCGCTGCTGCCAGGGAGACGTCACCTCCTATTTTTGCTACTGAAAACCAGCATTTTTTCAGCTGCTCAATGCACGTCAGCGGCAAAGGGAGGAGGCAATGTCTCCCTCCAATGTCTGGCCACTGCCTATTTGCCCTGCCCCTGCCGGAGCTGGAGCTGGAGCTGGAGGGAACGGCCTGGGCGCTGGGCGGCCCAGT